AAAAAAAAAAAATGCTATGCATATGATCTTGTTGGCCAGATTGTGCATGAACATAAGATTTCATGATACGCTATTTCCAAAATTCATTCGACACCACTGTGGCAATTTAACACTTGCAGCAATCAATGTAGGAAATATGAATAAGAAGAAGAACCCATTGGTCTTCTTGGACGTATCCATCAATGGGGATCCTGTGGAAAGAATTGCCATTGAGGTGATACACATATCTTAAAACCCTCAGCATTTTGAGATGCTATTAATGCAAGAATTATTTATATATATACTTGTCTGATGCTTCTCCCTCCCCTTTTTGTGGTAATGCAGTTGTTTGCTGATGTTGTCCCCAGAACAGCTGAGAATTTTAGGGCACTCTGCACAGGTACAAAAGCGCAAAACTTGATCGTTTTTGCTACAAATTTTATGACTTCCAACGTATACCAAATATGCCCCATTCATTTTCGTTCCTTTTTGTTTTAGGTAATTAGTGCAAGCGTCCTATCCAATAAAATTATTTCTGATGCTTCTGTGTATCAGTTTTTTGACGTGCAGAAGTGGCTTATAGTGAATGGATAAGTTGGATGATGTTGATTACTCGATGTATATGTTTAACATAGTTATTAAAATGTCACATATAAATTTTGTAATGGGGTGGAAGGAAGAAATGGTGGTGGGTAAGCTTGTATTTTTTTGTTGTAAATAATTGTTCTTTATCATTTATTGTTTATTCACAAATAATGTTTCCTTGTCATAAGACAATTAGACAGTTTTGGTGCAGGGAATAGGCATGAGAGTTGGCCCCATTTTCAAAAACTCATTTTTAACAACATATTTCATGAGATCCATAACTTTTCAATCTCACTTTTCATCAATTTAATTAAAATCTACCAAAATTTTAATTTTTATCCAAGCACTTATATTTATGGTTTAAAGAGACCTTAAATTTAGTGAAATGGAAAAAGTTGTTATTTACACCCTGTTTGTTTTTCATTTTTCATCCATAAGAATGAAAAATATGACCGTTATCCATCACATCAAGCCATCAATTTTAAATTTCTATCTCTTGTGTAGGGTCCAATAACGACTATATTTTTCATTCTCATTCTACAATAATGAGAATCAAACGTGCCCTTATTCTCTAACATGAACATATTTATATCAATTTACATTTTCATAAATTGTGTGCTCTGTCATATTAAGAACAATGAAGTTTATGTAGATAACTATATTATTGAATCTAGTTTGAAAAGGGCACATGTTATGCATCAGTTATAATTCATACCTGGATAATTTTATGAAAAAAATCCTTCATAGAGGCTTTATAGTAACTGGGGACGTGTTAATTGCTCCCTCTATTCAAAAAATAAATAAAAATAGTTTTCCTTACCCTTTTGGACCATTTCAAAAAATGTACACTGCTATAAATAATAAAATCTCAATTTAGGTCTGATTTATCTACTCTATCCACTTCCAAAGCATCGGATTATCAAATGTAATTTTTGACATAATGTAAGCTCCAATTCTCTATTGAAATAACATACTTTAAACTTTGCCTTTATACTTGTATGAAGTCAGACCAAATTATTCAATTGTTAAACGAGGAATTATGTGAGATTGATATATTCTAAGAGATGTAATTGTGTAGATATATCAATTAATTGCCTAAGATGTTATTAACCAATAGCTAGACACCAATTACTGCTAATTAAAGGATTAACCAAGTTCCCCTATATAGTGTGGATTGTATGAGTGAAGTCTGTGGTATGAATTTATCTACCTACATTGAATGAGTGGTTATATGAAACTATATGCTTTCTTTTGTGTACCTGCGGATGTAGACACGTTTTTTGTCAACTTTTCTTCTTGTATTCTTTTGCCTCTTGTTTATTTATTCTTTTCTTCTGTTTTTATTTTTGTATTTTTGGGGAATTCTTGAACATAATGCTTAGATTATAGGCTGTGGTTTAAATGCTTTTGCACTTTCTTCCGTAGGTGAGAAGGGTGTTGGAGCCTCAACAGGGAAACCTCTACACTACAAGGGGTCTATTTTTCATCGCATAATTAAAGGATTTATGGCACAAGTATGTTGTTTATGCATTTATAGAACACGAATTATGAAAGAAAGCATACTTGGTGGAGCTTTTTGTAGTTTTCCAGTAATTGTTCATGTATATAGCTGTTCCTGTTTATTATTTCTCTTTTACAATTAGTCGACTCCAATTGGTTTTCTGGTTGCTTGCTTCTCAGTTCCCACAACATCTGAATGTTTCTCATTGTAAATGAATGCAACAATTTGTGCATATGTCATATATCTTCGTGGCTGAACTGCTGAGGAAGTAGAAGCAGATTGGTTGGCATGAGCAGAACTTTGAAAATTTTCTCAACAAAACATTATTTTCTGTGGTTGTAAAGGATAGCAATGTGCTACAGTGACAGTAGTCGGCGGTTACTCTTCGAAGTCATTAAAATAGGTACTAGGGCACTGGGGGAATGTCTTGATAGTTTAAAGCTTAGATGAATGAGAAGTGAAGGTGCTTTCTATACAGCGAAGTGATGATTCATTCGTAATGTGACGGGAAGTCTTAAAAAAGGGTGGTGGTTCTAGGATTTCAATCAAGGTTCGAGACAGGCAGATAAAGTGTGTTTAATCACTTGTGAGAGCATGAGTGGAAGGGAATTTCATGCCTGCTTTGGGTTTGTTATCTTAGTTGAAAAGGGATGATGAGATGTAGACATTGAGCGGTGATTCTGAATGGGGAAAAAAGGGAGTGGAGAAGGAGAAGGTTCATGCTGTTTTAAGACGTACACAGATGCTTGCTCTCCAGTGTACTTGGTCACCGTGAGTGAATTCAGCAACTGCGGCCTTCAAGAAATTCACTTTGGCACGTTGTAGACTAGAAATCATGGACTCCCTCTGGACTGGATTGTCCATGTTCATCGCACGTTGAAGATGGTCATGCCTTGGCCTCTGAAATTTTCAGTTTTGGAAACAGAAAAGTGCGATGCTAATGACAGTTAATTAGACTCAAAATTAGGTGCCATTAAAATGCAAATGTAAAAGGATGGGTTTTTTTCTGCAGTAACTGTGTACTCCATTCTGGATGCAGTGATCCACTAAGGACATGTTCAGACACACTCAAGAACACTATTGACATAAAAATGTTATATTTTAATAAAAATGTGTTGGAATATGATATGGAAAATTTGCACTATAGGAGGATATAAAGAGGAAAAAGATCTATTCAGTGTAGGGAAAAAAGAATTGTAAAGAGAATGGTAATGGAAGGCTTACAATACCTCTATTGCTGCATGCTTACTGGTTAATGTGGTCGATTAAACTGCTTTAACTTTTCTTTTTGCCTTCTTCAATAACCAGTGACCTAATTAATTTTTTTTATATATCAATAACCATGCGTCTTTCTTGCCTGTTTCTCAAGGTACAAACAAGTCTTAAGACTTGTACATTATAGGATATAAAATTTATAATAAACATGCTCCTAACATATAGTCTCCTGCCTTTTGTAAAATTATGCATTAGCCCCTCCGTTTTCCATCATTTCATTTTTCCTCGTGGCTATCGTTGCTGTGTCTATGTCCTGTATGTGTGTCCGTGCTTCTGAGATATTTCTTATTTGAATCTGGTACTTGTACCCAGTTTTTTTGTAGTCTTTATGTCCCTAATTGTATCTTTGTTGAGATAGCGAGTTCTGGATTATTGTTCATTGATGACAATCGTTTGAGGTATCAACTTGCAATAATTATTTTGCATAAGATGAGTAAATTTGTTGGCACTGGAAGAAATTGGTTTCTTTCTTTTTTAATTCTCTTGCAAGAACGTGTGGGAGAGTGCTCATGGATATGCTATTTAGTTTTTCTCTACACTTCAACGAACCATATAAAGACATGCACACACACACACACACACACACACACACACAAAAAAAATATATTAATAGTAAACGATTGTCTCATGTACTACATTTTTCGTGCAGGGTGGTGACTTTTCAAAAGAAAATGGTATGCTTTTTTCTCTTCTGGATCTTATTGATGCAGATGCTCGATATGACTTCAGGCTTCATGCCCAGACTTGTAAGACACGACCTTTTAATGGTTTGCAGGCACTGGTGGAGAAAGTATCTATGGAGGGAAGTTTGCTGGTAGGTTTTTCTGCATTTTTGAGTTTATTTTTACTATAGTATGGCTCTTTTGAGAGCGCTTCAAATTTTTCCTTTTGATTTCACAGACGAAAACTTTAAGCTGGATCATAGTGGGCCTGGTTTTCTCTCCATGGCAAATGGTGGTCCGAACACAAATGGTTCCCAGTTCTTCATAACTTTTAAGCGCCAACCACATCTTGATGGGTATTTGATTTTGTTCTTATTTACCTGTCTCATAATGTCCTCAAGTCCCAAGCATTTATTCTTTTAGGGGTCTTGGACAACTAAATTTGGGTAGTGTTTGTACTTGAATTTCTGATATTTCCTTGTGTGGCAGAAAACATGTTGTTTTTGGAAAGGTTGTGAAGGGAATGGATGTTGTTAAGAAAATTGAACACGTAGGAACTGCTGATGGTAAACCATTGGGTTTGGTGAAAATTGTGGACTCTGGTGAGACACCTGTGAGTAAAATGCATGATTCGGTTGGAGCAGGGAAAGGTAGTATTGTAACACTGAGATGGCAAGCGTTGTCTTATTACTGCTGTAACATCTTTCCTTTCTTTTTGATATCTCTGCTCATGGTGCCTTCAGGGAAAAAGAAAAAACCAACAAAAGCTCTTTCATCCGATGATAGTTCTGACAGTGAAGCAAAAGGGAAACGCCATGCATCTCGTAAGGAAAGGAGGAGAAAGAGAAGAAAGAGATACTCTTCATCTGATTCATACAGCTCTGATACAGATTCTGATTCGGCTTCATCTGAGACAGATACTGATTCGGAGTCTGATTCATATTCTGAATCAGAGTCTCATTCTTCAAGTTCTTCCAGTGATGGAAGACGGAGGAAGAAAAGGAAGTTGACCAAGAGAGGTAGACATCAACATGGGAAGAGAAAGGTTGGACGAAAGGAGAGGAGGAAAGTTAAACATGATAAAAAATCAAGACGGAAGTCGAAAAGGTTTAACTTGTTTTTCTTTTTTCATTTTCAATGAAGTACTATATGCTCGTCTGTCCCAGTTTAAGAGTCTTTTCCCCACTTTTATTGTTGTAGTTATACTGATGGAGGCATTCATCTCACAAATGTCTTCCGCGTCTTGGATTATGACATTTTGTTTTCACCCACTAGATGTAAGACAAAAGGCATGCAATCTAAATGGTTTTGGAAGTCTAGAATATTTTCAATTTTTGTGTAATCTGTGGACATCTTTGATGAGGGAAACAAGACTGTGTCATAGAAGAAGTGTCATCGTTAAACAATCTGTTTATTAAAACTAAGTTCTGAACTTGTCCCTATTTCTCAAAAAATTTACTCAGAACCTCAGGAAGTTCTAGTGAAACTGGCAGCAGCAGCTCTGACGATGAAAATGCCATCAAGGACAAATCTGCACATAAAAGTAACATATCAGGCCAAGAAATGAAGAAGCTAGCGCAAATTCTTGGTATCTATCTTTCTAAACTCTTCAATAATCTCCATTGTCATCATCATTACTTTTTCGACTTGGATTATTTCAAGAAGTGACCAAATATTTAATTTTACCCTTATCATCTCATAACTGGAAATTTACAGGTTCAGAGAAGAAATCTCCAACCCCTCTGTTAGGACAAGCTGTCACAGAGCAGAAAAAGGACGATGAAATGAAGTCAGATGGCAGCTCATCTCATGAAGAGGGTGAATTTTCTCCTAAGAATGATGATATTCTGAAAAATGGTCATGAAAATGAAGCTGCCAACCATGTTGATCAATCTGTCAATTTGAGCAGATCCAGGTATTCACTATTTAATGCTTTTTGCTCTTACATCTGCTCCAGTTGTTGGTTTACATATCATTTTCATTTCCAACCCATTCTGCATATAAATGACTGATACACCCTAATTTCACTTCTTTATTTTCATGCTTATTAATGTCTGATCATCCATATTTTTGCTGTTATGTATCATTATTGGACATTTCTGAGTAACAGGAGGCTGACGCCAAGTCCTAGAGGGAGGCCAATGTCCAGTCATCAAAGCACCCCGAGCAGAAGCCCAGAGAGAACGGTTCCGAGACTTGAAAATAACCGTAAAATTCCTAGATCGTCTGGTCAGCCAAGCAGTAAAAGTCCATCAAGGAGTCCTGCCCATAAAGCTCCACCACCATCCACTTCTATTCATGGTCGGGATTTGTCTAGAAGCCGCTCTCCAAATGGAACTCCAAAGCGTGTTAGGAAAGGGCGAGGCTTTACTGAACGATATGCCTTTGTTAGACGCTATCGCACACCATCTCCAGAACGTTCAATGGATAGATCTTATCCATATGGTGGAAGAAACATTCAAAGGAACGACAGGTACTTCCTCGACTGATCCTAAGGGTGGTTTGTCACGAGTCATTTGCTAAATATATGCCCTCAATTAGCAGCTCTTGCTTAGAATATTGTACAATAGCGTCTGCTAGATTTTAAGAACTGGAGAAAATTTAAAGGATTTCAGACACACTACTCCTATCTGCCACTTCTAAAAAGGGAAACCAGATAAGCAAGACAGCGGTGTACAACTGCATCTTTTGTCCCCTATTTTGGCTACCCCCCATCTGAACCTTTTTGTCTTACGTCCACGAGCCACTGGTGTTGCACATTCCCAAACATCCATCACCTGAAATTAATGATGACTGAATTTTTGGAACTTCAAGTTGAGCTTTCTTGTTCCTTTCTGCGTTATATTTACTTCAGGCAATAGAACTTTCATTTGAAACCTTTTTGAGTATATTTGCTATAATGACATTTGTCTCTCTGCTACCAGTCAGTATTGCTCCAGTTTGTATTCTGACTGTTTGAATCTTCTTCCCCATAAAATTTACTTTGTTTTGTTTCTTCAGAAAGCCAGGTCATCTGACTGTTTGGTAAATGACGTCAATTTCCATGTTACCATGCATATCTTTCTTTTCATTGTCTTCCTCTCTGTTCAAATCACAGGAAATAATATAGAGGTCTGGGCTTAAAAATCTTGACCCTACGAACCAATTACCGTGATCTGTATCAGAATATAAATGATGTCTGAATTGAGGGGATGATATAAAGAATGGTTTGCTGATTGTGACTTTTTAGGTATTCAAGCTACAGAGATAAGTTCCAGCATTCACCACAAAGACGATACAGAAGCTCACCAAAAAGAGACAGGAGTCCACCCAGGTCTCTCTCTCTCTCTCTCTCTGTGCACGCGTTCACGTGCACACATATATCTGAGTGTCTGTGTGGGCGTGTATGTCTCTCCTGAATGTGTTGGTGTGTTTGCGCATTCAAAATTCTGAAGGGTAGAATGCACATTTATTTCCCTGTATGCTTGTGTATTTTGAACCTTTGAACCTTCAGTGCGCAACTCTTACTGATCTCGTCAATTTGCTTGCTGATGATTATCAGCATGTTTGGGTAAGCTTAAAATGTTTACTTGTAAGTAATTAAGTTTTAAAATTTATAATTTTTTAATTGGTCAAAGTTGAATATTATTCTGACACTAAGTTAAAGTTACGTTTATTTTTTTACTTTAAAGAAAGAAGTAATTCAAAAATGCTTTGAAAGTTACTTAGAGTAACTTCACCTTTTCTAAGAATAGCCAAACATTCTTTCTGGCACTGTCTTTTTCTAATTTGACTTTACTTTTGTGCAATCATACAAGAGATGTTGATTTATGTTTTGTGTCTTAGATATGAGCGCAAAAGAAGTCCTAGTAGGAGTCGTTCCCGAAGCCCTGGTCCATACCGTGCCCGGAGAACACTTCGTAGCAGGAGCCCTGTGCGAAGTCCTAGCCCGACGGATAGGCGCCCTGCAATTAGTGGTAGACTAAAATCTCGTCTTGGGCCGAAAGTGAATGACCAAATCCCTCAAAATAGAGGTAGATCTCTTTCACGCTCTAGGAGCCGTGGTTCATCCGCATCTGAATCTTCAAAAAAGCGTCCAGGAAAGAAGGCATCTGCTTCGCCTGGCAGTTCCAGATCCAGTACCCCTGGTGGTCGAAGGGGTTTAGTCTCGTATGAAGACTTGAGTCCAGAGAATGGAACAAATAAGTGAGGTTACTGTCTAGAAAAAAATCTTGGTTTTAGTCGACCATTCTATTTCGCTTTCAGCTTATCTTTCTGAACTTCTTGTGTTCTATTTTTCATGTTTTTTCAGCAAACTGAATGTGTAGCTTAGAACATATATCCCATCAAAATTCTGGTAAACTTTGATTGCACTTTGTGATTTCCAGATGGAAGTATAGCCATTTGAAGCTATCGTTTTTATTTGCTGCTTACGCTCTCTGCCCACGGATTGATTCCTGATTCCTTCTGGATTATTATTGTCTACTAATCGTTGATGGATTACAGTACTCGTGTGTGTAATGCAAGTGATGACCTCATATGAAAAAGCTATCGAAGTTTTGCTGTTAGTTAGTTCATTTGCTATTTATCTCGAACCCATTTTGATTGTCAGGTGTTTTTTGTTTTGAACGCCCTATTTTTGTTTGAGGTCAAAGTTCCCCAACACTACCCCTCTTCTGTCCAACGCTGCGGGGAGAGCAATGTAAGATGGTGGATTTGAAGCGACTTCATTTTGTTAGAAAGAGATCTTGAGACGCAGGCTTTGGCCTGGAGGACTTTCAGAAGATGGGTGGATTTTAGGGTTTGCTTATCGGTATTTAAAAGTCTCGACTGGCCAGCGTCGATGAAAAATTAAAGGACAATAGAAGATCTTCTCCCATTGCATCAGTGATTGGTGTTCGAAAAACATAAATCCTTGCCATCCAGCCAAGTTATTGCGAGCTAGTTGTGCTCTTTTCTTCCAAGTTCTTGGGTTTTCCTTTCATTTTGAAGGAACGATGGTCTATCCTAGATTAAAGGATCGCATGCTTAAATTATATTTACTTTAGGAACAAATTATGATCTTAGCTCGTTTTATCTTAGATGTATGATTCACATATAGGTCCGGTGAGCCAGTGTTCTCATGTTCTGTATCGATTTGCTTAGAAAAATGTGAGGTTCAACACTTGCCTGAGCTGGTCACCTCCTGGCCTAGACGACCCGACTCAATTTTACACCTCTACTTAAAACTATCTGCATGTTTGAGGCGGCTTATTCATGCTTATAAGCCATTCCATACATGATCTGCTCTTGAATCGATAGAACTACAAAAGTTTTGAGAATTTGTAAATGCCATCTTAAAATAAGATTCTACTCAAGAATTAGTGAGTCAAAAAATGAAATCTACAACATAAATAGGTTAACTCGATTATAGTTTCTGATTTTTGCGAAAATATTCTCATTTCATCCGATTTTATCATGTTGGAGTGTGAGAGTTCCAAATTTAGTTAATATCAAGTTTGCAACATTTTTATCTGTTCTATTCCTCTCAATTTTTGCTATAGTTTTCGTTTTGTCCACTAATGGATACTAAAGGTAAGCAAATCTATTCAATGAGCAAAGACAAGTACCATATGTCAATTGACCTTGACTTCAAATGCAAAGACTTTTCAACTATCTAACAACACGCATGCTTGAAAATTGAAACTAGTTTCTGGGGGTGGGAGTACTTAGTTCTATTCAAGGAAATTGTTTTTGATGAGAACATGGAAAGGCAGAGCAGCTCTGATGGACAGAAAGAAATGGTGGAACCGCGTGTTCCCCTCTTATATTGGCTGACCTTTCGGAACAATTTGATCTTTGATCCACATGTAAATGGGAACCAATACGTAGTAAGTTGCTGCCATGGCACCTAAGATGAGGCGCGAAAGAAACACAAAAGGATTTACAGGCTCCGAAACATCCTCTACCTTAGGACCAAGCTACACAAATAGAAAAAACAAGATTATTTTAGCACATGCATTTATGAAAAATCGAAATTCTCTTAACTAAGCAAGATATAAACAAATGGTACGCAAAATTGGTTGCCGGATTATCATCAAGAGTGAGCGCACATTTAGCAAGCGCTCCTTCCTTCTATATCTCACACAGAGGAGTAGGGATTGGGGGCGATGAGACAAAACTTGTATGCGGGAGAATTAAGGTCTACAGATCAAAATTTAGTCAGGTAGAGATCATCTTTCCATTCTGGAGTCTGAAGCAACCAATACGAAGTTTATGCTGCCACAAGATGCACTTAACGACTATGCATAAAGAGCATATTTTGGGTGGAGCACAGTAATCAGTAACACATAATACAATTAGATGAGGTTTTAATTTCTTTTTCTTTCTTAATATTGTCTCGTAGTGTCTAGTCAAATGCCAAAAGTGTCACTTCAGTGTCGGGTGAATATCTAGACCTCTCCTCTATTCAAGAAAGTGCAAGGAGAGTTCAATTGAACTTGGAGTCAGAAATAAAATTGAGATACATGCAAGAAGTTTTCCTGGGACAGCAATGAAGACAAGTTGATTATAGTAAGAGAAAAATTATGACAGCTTTGTAATTTGCTCTGGCGCATAGCCTTGATGCAGGTATTTGGAATATGACAGCAATTTCTACACAGTTTTCATATAAGCATAGATAGACATACGTTAACAATAACAAGAATTGAGCTGTTTTCACAAGGTTGAAATAGATTAAAGCCAATGAAGATAGTTTAACTGAGCAAGAAAATCAGTGTCACTGCCACGGAGTAAAACAACGCAAGCATGTGGGCATGTCTGCTATACAGGGATCGTAGTAAGGGATAATATCTCAGTTTTTTTTTCTTTCGTCATTTAATGTTGCAAGATCAAATTTACCAAATGATTCATGAAAGCGTTAATGTTCAAACATTCATGGAAGAACAATTAGAAAACTACCTGCAAAGGTGAGTCCCCAGATGCAGGTTTTACACCTGTAACCGAGCATCCCATAATCAGCCCATGTCTACGAACCCCACGATACCATTTTGGACCAATCCTCTTCAGTTGGACATCCTTGAATCCAGCCTTTTCAAACCACTCAATGTACTCTTCCTCCTTCGGGAAGAGCATCCACGCATCAGCAAAGAAGCGAGATAACCAAAATGTTGGATATACAGGACCAATTACACAAGCCTTCCCTCCGAGCCTTAAAACTCGATATGCTTCCCTGATGCCACGTTGTGGGTCCGGCCAGTACTCAATACTGAAAAAGAATGTACAGTTGTAGAACATCGGTAAGATACAACATTTGGAAATATCTCTCCCATGTTTTCATTAAGTAATGAATAGATTGTCATCAATGGATGTGCACAACTGCCTAGATTTTAGTGGATTTTCATAATTTTGAATATCCAACAAATTATTGATAGATTAATTAACCATACTTCTCCTTGTTAAACTCTAACTCTGTGTGCGATTCGATGTGAGGAATCCATAATATTGAACTTAAAATCGAGTCCATGGATATTTTGATGTGTGCCAGTTCCTTAACACAAGAAAACAAGCAATATCAGTGATAGTTAGATTAGCCCAATGGTTTAGCCATATCAATAAATCAAAATTTAAGAAAAGAAATATTAAGGCGTCATTTCAACAATCAAGGTGGAATGCAGTCGAAATTTTTCTAGGCAATCAAACTGACAGTAAGGAATTTAGCACTAACCCCCTCTTACAAAAGCTGTAATAAACACAATCAAATACAAGTGGTTCACCCTCAACATGGAAGCCAAGTCCAGCTTTGCATATCCATTCTAGGGTCTAGGGATAAGTGTACAATATAACTAAGTTCCACTCAATCCAACAAAACAAAAGGCGGAAAGTAGATAAATCAAATGTAGAACATAAACAAAATAAGGAATTTGTTTACCTCCCGGCAGATACATATCTATCAGCATAATCAGTTTTGAAAGGGAGGTCCTCAGCATCACCCTCGATTATCTTGCATTCCTTCAAGGGCTCTTTCTTCTTAGCCTTGGCTAGCTGATGAGGAGACTGATCAAGAATTGTAACATTCTTAGCATCCACATGTTTCACTATACCCAAAGTGGTAAACCCTGTACCTCCACCAACATCCACCACTGTCAAATTCCTATTATTGAGTTCAGCTGGCTCAAGTGCATCATCCCTCATATCCTCAGTCCAATGCCCGGGGTTTATAACATGGTCGTACACAATTGATAGAAACCTGTAGAACCAAAATGCCTCTTTTTTATGCTGTATGAATCTTGGCTGAGAGGCCGGCCTAGATGCTGAAGCACTGCAATTAGGGGATACAATGGTTTTACTCTTGTGGGTTCTTGAAATTTTGACACAAGAAACAGAATTCAACTTGGGAAAATGCTTTCCATTAAAATCCGAGCCAAGAAAACCTAGCCCATTTGGGGTTTGAGCAATTCCTCTAGTGAGTGTGGGGTTTATGGCACCATTGAGCAAAGAAGAAGCCATGAAATCAAGAAATAGCAACAAACCACAAACAAAAAGGTGAAGTCTTTGAGGCTAATCCGTTGAATTTGAAGGTTTTGAGCAAAACTCAAGTGCAAAATCTGGATAATTTTGTACTCTCCATATACGGGTGTATGTAGGGTAGACACACTAGTAGCGCATATGACACACCTGATACTACTGGAAGATTATTTGGCCCATTAAATTAAAAAAAAATATAAGAAAAAGAAAAGTTTTGGTTGGTTGGTTGAATTTTGTTGATAAATCTTGTGGGGTTTCCGGGTTTTGAACCTTTATTCATTTTATGTTTCCTTTTTTTTTTTTTAGAAATATTTCTTGGAATTTATGGTTTATGTACTGTTGTGGTCCTCCTATTGCCAAAACAGTTTAAAGTCCCAACTTGATGAGTTTTGCAATTTAACCTTTTTTTTTTATTAGAAAATTTCTACAATTTATTTTTCTAGCGCAGTTCTTAATGGACAATTTCTACACATATTATCGTTCTAATTTCATGTACAATGTTTATGAGATAAAATAATAAGCATTATTTTTAAATAAAATTTTATTTTATTTAACGGAAAAATTGATGAAAACCTTCAACTGAAAAGGCAGGGGGCGTAAATATCAAAAGGAAAAGTTGAGTACTCATTTGCACAAATTTAATAGGATGGAAATCATGGATGCAATTTTCCCTTTCTTTTCTATGTTTGCACGATCTAAATCTAATAATGAAACAAATAATTACCTTAATAATCTACAATATATAAAAAGGAATGGTTGAGCAGAAACTTTTGAATACCTATTTTACCCTCACATATTTACTTATTTAGGGTGTGTTTGAGCCAAATTATTTTAGAAAAATGTATTCTGGAATAATAGATTGATGGAGAATTTGTGGTTGAAAAATAAGGAAAAGTTATTGATTTGATGGAAAATATTATTTTATTGAAGAATGTATGGTTGAAATTGAGTAGAAGAATGAAAATAAAAATTTTAATGTGTACCAAACAGGGGCTTAGCCATAGATCCAATACACCCTTATTTGATTTACAATTTTGTCCTTAAATTTTATTTTATTTTGTCATCTCTGCCCTTATCTAATCTCCTACTTTTTCATGCTTTAAACATCATTCTCATCTTTCGGCCAATTGATCTTCGAATGAAATATAATTTATTTATAATTCTTGAAAGTTTATAATATAATGTTAAGAGGGTGTTTGGTGAGGATTAAAATTAAATTTTTAGTAGATTGTGATTGAAATTTTTGAAATGTATGGTTGAAACGTTGTGGGATCCATGACAGATGTGGTTGATATTGATTGTTTGACTTTGACTTGAATTAAAATCAGATTTTAATTCGGACCAAACATGGGCTAAATAATATGATTATTTTTATATAATTTTTTTTCAAAAAAATAATATTTAATAATGCTTTTTATTCAACGCGTGTTCATGATTTACCTTCATTGAAATAAGAAAAAAACTTAAACTTCTTGCATTGAGAAAATGAAAATCATATAGACGTAAGGGAAAATCGAGTTCAACAATTCTCAAAGAAATCGAAGGATCACAACAAAAAAAAAAATCACATTTATTGCCCTTAAAAGAATAGTTAATGCTGTAGTTTTCATTTTTGCCCTTATATATTATGCTTCTTTAGTTATAAATAATCAATGTTCCATAATCATTACTAATTATATTATAACTCCAAAAATTTAATATAACTCTACTTCATTTTGTCTCATTTTAAATATAAATTTCACTGCTTTACATTGGAGAACTTAAAATTTATATTAACCAATTCAAGTTTATTTACTTAAAATCGGAGCTCAATATATATATATATATTAAAAGTGGCTATGTAACAGAATTTCTTGTTTTTAACGGAAAAACTAACGGAATATGTTGTTTTAACGGACTATATAACGAAATTTCTTGTTTTAAACAGGCAGTTGCACCTTCCTTCAGTGTTTTTATCATAACTTTGTATTCCGATATCCGATTGAGGCGATTCAAAATGCATTGAAAAGCTAACTCATCTGACTATAACTTTGATTCAGACGTCATTCTCCAATTCGATCGCTTTCTATGTCAAAAATAGGTCTCAATATGAGATTAAAACATTGGAGCATAACTTTTCGGTTGGAAATTGATTTGTGATCATCTTTTGACTAAATTTGATTCCATTGACGTCTTCCTTTATCCAATTGACTCCGAGCACTCTCAAATCTTCATCGTGAGGTTCGGCACAACTTTTAAGTATTCACAATTGAACAATGACAAAAATAACATTAAATTGTCCAAGTAATGAATATTCAGACACATTTAAATCTCCACTTCATCTACAAAAATCGATCCCTTTTATTAACAAATTTCATCCTTCCAGACAGAATAAAAACAAGAACAAGAAGAGCAAGAACTTAATCATGATCTTCATCCAATACAATCTTGAAAGCATTAAATACTTATTCAACTCACGTATGTACTGACTGTAAATAAAAAATAGATTACAGGCAATAGAACTATGCTTATAATTTTGGTTGAACACGCTACGAACGAAGCAGATGTACAGATGCTCGTACAATAGGTAGTTATGCATGCCTGAAATAACCTTCTCAACCTGCAATTTGGAACAAGGGAAAGAACATACAACATTTAAGTAAAAAGACATTGGAATTGATGAGCATGATCAGATGAAAAGGACAAATATATAAGAAATGACAAAAATAGTTTCGAAAATAATACACAAATATGTTGCTAAGCTAAACATAAAGAGCAACTATGAAACTTCTAACACACAACCTCTTCGACTCTTCCTCAATTTTATCAGACAAACTTTTCTCTAACTTTAGAGAATAATAAATATCAAGGTTTTAAATTAAAGATAAAATAGTATGTGCATGAAAAATTGGACCAAACAAAAAGAACAAGAAGGAGATTTTGAAAGCAGAAGAGCTCACTTCTTTGGACCACAACTTGAAAATTGAAAGAAATTCCAATGCAACAACAAAAAAATCAAGAATGTGTTTACATTAGCTAGTTTGAGTCATGGATGACGAAAAAATTTGTCCGTAGATATCATTCGCACAAATTCTATAGCTATGGACAGTTTTTAAAGGCTCATACTGAGCAAACCATTGGACAATAGTGTACGATGCAAAAATATAACGCCACAGGCATTAGTTGAGACATTGAAAAGCCTTGGATTCAAATATTTATACCGCTTTCCTGGTTTCCCAAAGCAAAGTACAACTGGACAAGCTAGATAATTTCTTTTTCCACTTTAATTTTGTTTTAACAATTCAATCCAATATATCAAATGCCCCTTAAACATCGTTTTTATGTACACAATAATTCATTTCTTGATGGGCCAGCATGTGCAAGTTACCACACATCATTTTGAAGAATTTGGCATTCAATCTCCAATTTCAGTCATCCCACTTTATAACCAAGCAACATAACGTTCTTAGGGTAGGGTTGGAATTCATTTGGAAGAAACAATAATTGGAAGTTTGTGGGACTGTTTTCTGGAAAAAAAATCGTAACTTTGGGAGAAAAGGATTAGCCCATTTCAGAGAATGGTCCACCCTGCAGATGAAAAGACACGGAAAGGAGTGAAGAATAATAATCTTCTAATTCCATCACAAATTGGTTCTTTCGATTCAAGAAAAAGTTAAAAGAGAAATAAGTGATGAAAGCATCAACCATATGCGTAGCCAAAATTAGATTTTAACATCAACCTGGGGACTTGGATTGAATATTTGATGACGGAATTTACCATTTTGGGTATATATTTTGTTCTTATATAGCTAAAGAGAATTGATTGCAGGTCTTGTCTGTTTTCTTTCTCATTGTACCATCAAATCAGTCAAGAATTAGCACTGATTGGAATATTAGCAATTTCGCAGGTTTAAATTAAAGAAACCCCACTAAACAAACAAAAATCTCCAATACAAATGACATCAATATACTCGATGAAGGTAAAGGAAAAAAGGGTCTCAATTTCCATCCTACCAAAATGAAATCCACCTAAATTTCTCTAGTGACCTTTTCAATCAAAAGATCAACCATAATGCAATTTGTGCTTCAGTATACCATGTGAGTTTAAACACTCTTCTTTCTCAACCACCAAATATGAGACCAGGGCTATATCTCAAAACACAAACACCAGCATGTAGCAGATTGATATATGTAAGAGTATGGAAGAGGCTTCACCAAAATAAGACACATTTTCCTTGTTTCAACATTAAAGCCTATAGCTATTTTCATAATAATGTAATATAAAATAGGCCTTCTAAGAAGATTATTGTCACCCTTTGAATCCTAACTGTATGCTGTAGTACTAATGCACATAAATTAAAACAAGGTTACCCAAAGCACATTGACTGACACCAAATCATAAGCCATCCTAAAGTTTGGAATAAAGTCATTTTAAAAATTGGGACATCTTTGATGAATTAATATTAAATTTATGTTTATCTAATATTCAACCATGTAGAGAATTGTTCTCTCTGGTTCCTAATTGTACGTCATGTTCAAATTTATATCTGTTGTTATAGTATTATTAAACACAATAAGCATGTTTTAAGGTACATACATTTCCCTACACATTTCATGGTCAATGTATAATTTAGTTTTCTAAAACTGATTTCATGCATCAAACACATGCACAAGATTAAGTATTAGAATAAATAAATAAAACGAAAAGAGAAGAGAAGAGAAGAGAAGAAAAGAAAAGGAGTTCATAAATTAAATGACTCCTCTTCCAAACATCATGACACCATTTTACTAAATTTAATTAACACTTTCAATTACAGATCCAACTTCAACACAATAAATGGGAAAGACCTTACTAAAGCTACATCATTATCATTATAGAAGAAATTTCACCTTGGTACCAATTAGTACTCAGTTTTAAATTAGTGGATCGAAATAGGCAAC